TATAACAAACCCTGGAGAAGGGGGACAAGCGGGACAAAGGACGAACACAAATCTCCATCACAGCTAGGTGACTGGTGCGTAACCGAAAAAATCCGCCTGGTCACCTTCTTAAAAGATAATTATCGTCATTCTTGTCCACCTCGCTTGGACCTTTTCATTTATTGCATTACCATCAAGATGGGTACAAGGTTAGGTACCTGGGAATTTCCAGATGGCAGGATAAAACTGTTGGCATAACTGTTTAAAATGTTCATACTCCTTCGACGATACGTTGGGTAAGTTTTAAACCGGCTCGTAAGCTTCTGCTACATTTCATACAATGAGAGCTTCAGCAACAGTAAATTATGATTAGCTTTTGTCGAATTCCTTTGCCATGTCAAAATAAAGAGTTTCGACTTGGCCTCAAAACAAATCTAGGAACGGTTGTTGATTACGGGCTTTATGGCGCAAAGCTACAATGGCCATACTGCGCCAAGCTTGTTTAGTTGAAACATACTCTGGACAAAAATCTAGGAACGGAGTATCCATGATGTTAGCATATATTAGTTTCCATTTAGCGTCCTCTTAAAAAGAAACATGTTGAACGCGACTTAATTTACCTCAAAAATTATACGCAACACAAGATCATATACCCATATCAAATACATTCAAAAAGAACGCAGCAAAACTATCAGTCGTTAGTTGTTTACATTAAAAACAACACTTTTTTGCGCTGGTTTAACCACAGACGCTTTCTAATTTGATGTAAAACACCCCCTTTTAAGGAGAGGTTGAATATGTGATTTAGGACGAAGGCTAATAAATGAAGCACCCTTTGACAATAACGTTGAGTATCATTATTTCTAACTGACAACTTCGACATGAATTTTTCTATTTATTCGAGAACTTCAACCGTATGGATATTGCCGCGTAAGCAGCAAGCCATGTAGGCAGCGCGCTTGGCTCCCATACAGATTGCCGGGGTTCGAATCCAGACACCGCTTCCATTTTTTTATCTTTTTTATGTAAGTAGAAAATTGGGGAGGAGAAAGCAGGGGAGTGGTGAAGAGAGGGGAGTGTTTCCTCCTCTCCTCTTCAGCAATCCCTGTGCCTCCTCCTCCTCAGCCTTCCTTTTCCTCGCCTTGAAATCTTAAGCGGCCACCGAGTATACCTTGTTTATGTTTAAAATGTATACTTCGAGAACGATCGAGGCCTTGGCTCCCCGGAAAGGCTCAAAAGACAACCGCGCCACGTAATACGGAGTCAGTCTCGGCTCTGCGCTCAATCCTGCTCTTACGCCGCCATCAACGCCTGCGACGCCAGCCTTCTATTTTGGCTTGGGCACAAGCTCGCCTCATTAAACGTTTAGTTTTCTTCAGGCGTTCGTCGCCTCATCAGTTGTCACTCGTAACAATATAGTTAATGTTTAGAAACTCCTTGTAACTGGTAACCAACATTGCCAAGGGTAATGCTGACCGAGAACGAATCTGATGAGTAGCATTCACGAAAATGATGTCGAAAAAGATTGGATATAACTAGAGGCGCCGATACATATCCAGTGTCATATTGTGAATATATACTGCCATTTCTAATGTGTTTATGCTGGTTTACAAATTTTCAGAACTTATCAGGCTTCCGCTATGAACAGCTTTCAATTATTTGTTTACAAAACCCGTTTGTCGTGCTTGAATTCCTTTTTGACTATCGCCCGGTAAATAGGTAAATACTGAACTTTCTTTACCATAAATTGACACCACTTTGTTGGCAAAGATTGTTGAAGTGCCTTTTTCTAAGTACGTAATATAAAAATTCTCTAGAAAACCAAAAGGGATCAATCAAATCAAATTTGGGGATTTTACGTGCCAAACCGACGACGGGCATCTGGCACGCCCCAGCGGAGGACTGAGGATTAATTTCGACCACCTGGGGATCTTTTGACGTGCAACTGAAAGCTCGGTTACACGGCGCCTTCTCCGCAATAAACCTCCGCCATATTGCGGGCACCTCGGTCGGGATTAAACCAAAAGGGATACTTGGAGCGTTGCGATGAACGTTTTAGAAATATATTCATTCCATTTCTGAGAGTGCGGGTTAAAGAATCGGTAGCAGTGTCTATGTTTTGATAATTTAACACTGCTGACCAATTATGATATTTTGAGAACTCGTGCAATCCCAAGTAAATACCAGCACAGTAATCGTACTTGATATAACTTTGGCGAGCATAATGGTCTCACAAAACGTAATACGTTACACAAAATGACCAAAGCAAAACGTCGGAACGTATCATCACGTCACTGGCGGCTTCAATATATTCAATGGGGTTGTTCGGGAGAAAGATATCAAGAGCGTTCCCAACATTGTTTGCAAATTGAATCTGTTGAGCAAATTCATTAAGATTAATAAAGTTCAGCAAGCAAGCCGCTTTCGTTGAAGCTTGCAGGTTTCCGCTCGTGGCGTTGCGAGATGTCCAGTGTATACCTGCGAGATTAAAATCGCTGTGGATGTGCACGGGATATTTTGAAAGGTTTATCTTTTGAAGACTACGAAGTTGACCACGGGAAGTTTTTGGTCGAAAAAAGGTGAGATTAATAAAGCCTTCACCCTATGAAACTTTGATTCAAACAGAGTTTAGGCAGGTTTCTATATTCGCAATTTGACAAAACGCCACTGACTCATCCACCGGTATTAAAACACCACCGACAAATTTATGGTCAGTCCAAACGTACTCCCTTTCTTTTGTAAAAGGTGCAATAAGCAGGGAAATATTCATTGCTGGGAATTTTGTGTAAAAGCCACACCTTAGCTTAAAAAGCAGATAATATTTCTAGAATCAGCTACAACATTTCACGCATACGTCGGCTTTTGTGCGCCAACCACGAACATTCTTACAGTAGGCTTCAAGAACTCGACTCATCCCCTGGGCAGTCAGCGGATTCCGACGCAAACGAACGGAGGCTTTCAACTTTTACCAACAACTTTTAAAATACGCACCCTTGGGACCAAACTAAAGTCGTTAATCAAGTCAAATGGAATATCGTGTACGGAAACATAAAACGAAGAAGAGACCGCAAACTTCGTCTTCAACTTTAAACAACAGATAGATTTGCTTGTTAAAAAGGGTTCAACCAGAACGTCAATTTCTTCCACGGTAGTACTCGGGTCAAGTCGGGACACAAATAATGCTTTCCGAGCAGGAACGCAGGAAACAGTCATCTTGGGGGCATTTGCAGGTCCCGCTGACGGCTCATACAATATAGAAGTTGATATACAAAGGTCACTGGTACATTTTAAAGCATGCATTGCTTTTTAACGCTACACACTAATCCCAAAAGTTTGTCCGTCCGTCCATCCCTGCATTTTTCGCTAAATTTAGCGCAGAAAGGGGCGTCAGGGGACGTTACCTGACGTCATGTGTCCTGAACACCTTGGGGGAATTGACGGCACGTAACCTATACGTCAACTCAGTTTCCCCGCTACATTTAGCAGGAAAATGCACGTATTGTGACCAAAACAATTTCAGTTTCCCCTCGCTAAATTTTGCGGGAAATTGACATCACGTGACACCCCGATTCCCTCACCAATCTTCTCACCAATTCCCTATACTGCATTGAAGTACTCTGAAGGCTAAGGTCGCTGCCATTTTTTTCATAAACAATACCTGCACACACGCCCCTCAGGTATCGTGACATGTATGCTGCTCAATAATTTTAGTTAAAATTGTTATTTGCTAAAGTAAATATTACTGATAACACTTCGCCCTACTTGTTGCATTTCATAAAAAAAGATACGGAAGTTTTTTTAGTAACGAAAAAACGAGCGGCACGTTACCGATGACATACCTTAAAAAAGGAAACAAATTGTTTTAGTGATCTTGAAAAAGTGGCTAGCTTGAGCATATAAACGTTGACAGTATGCGTGGGGTGCACTGTGACCAAGCGCAGTTCGCAATCGATGAGGAAAATAACTACTACGTGTCTTTATATTGTCACATTAATTTGGTGGAATGAAGACATTCGACTTCGTATTTGTCTCCTGGATTTGCAAGACCACGTGCTCAACGAAAGCCACTGGCAGTGCTCGGGGGACCACGGGCAAAGCTGAAATCATGAATCGGTTTGGACCGGTTCGCGCTTGGTAGAACGTTTGCCTACCTTTTTGGAACCAAATACGATCGAGGCAACTAAACCAGAAACTGAAGCAAAACAGCGACGGATTCGAGAACCTGGCACACACTTCCTTCACGACTACCCGCTAACGTAGGGCCCTTTCGCAAAAGGAGTCACAAAACCACATTTCCAATTATCTCGAGTAAGGGATAGGCATCTCTAAGGTCACTGCGAGTTATAAAAATTCACAGGGCCTCTTATGCTATCCCTAAGACTACTTGAAAGCGAAAGCCCAAGCGCCGATGCATTAAAGATACACATAATTTACGGATGTAGCGGTACCCCTACGTCCGTGGCGGAGGGGTACCGCGACGCCAGCCGAGGGACAAGAGCAAAAAGTCTTTTTTAGAAGAATATAGCGCCTCCGCCAATTAAGGTACAAGTAACGCCATTTGGTGGTCCAGTGGCGAACCGTGGGTTTTGGCACCTTTCGTGTCGCTGGTTCTCGTACCTTTCGTGTCGCTGTCCTGTTTTCGCTCAAGGCTTTTGAAGGTCGACTGAACGATGAGAAATATAAGGTTGGCGCGTTCTAAGGTACCCGAACTGTGGTCATGCTATAAATAGAACTAACACACACTTTTGAACCTCGTCAAGCAACATTGGCGGTCACCACTGCTTGCTCACGAAGCGCGAGATTGGATCCGAGTCCTCTCTAAACGCTGACGCAGCCCTCGTGTCCAATACATGCTCAGGGTACGTGACCAAACGATGTCGGTCTCGGATATTTGGCGCAGCAGCTACAAAATCACGCTAACTTTTAGGAAGGGTATACTGCCTTTTCCCAAAAGAGACAAGTGCCGCGTTTTAGTCTATGGTTTCTTCGCAAATAAAATAATGAAATCTTCTTAGCTTTACCTGAAAGATGACGGCGTGCTGATGCAAGCCGTCGAAGGGCCGCACACCCGACTGCATCTGCCAGAGCACGACGCCCAGGGAGTAGACGTCGGAGGGGAAGTCTGGCCGCTGGCCGCACAGCACCTCGGGAGCCATGTACTGCACCGTGCCGCACACCTGATAGGGAAAAACGAGTGGTCCGTGTCGAACACGAAACAAAATGTTGAGGGACAGTTACCCTAGAGTCACTGACAACTTAAAAGGACAGAGAATTTAAAAATAAATATGAAGGGTTTAATAATGTTTTGTACATTTTTCTGAAAAAAAAAAATTCTTAGCAATATTTACGCCGTTAGAGGTAATTTAGTTAGGGTAGCCCCGCTCCAGGCCCCACCCAGTGCTTACAAAACTGGCGTACCAAAGCGAATATTTTAAGTCGCTTTTTAATTGCGCGTCGCGACGCTCACCCACCTTACTTGCGGATGCCACGTGAAAATAAAAAAAAAGAACAGTAAAGTTGAAAGGACAACATGTTTATTTTGTTGATCTTTTTCTTCCTCTTGACCGCTTATTACCGCACATCGACACACGCTGACAGACGCGTGTATTGGATCATGGCTCGTGCATGATAGAACGCTATAACGTAGTTTTTATGGTCGTTTTTTCTGAGAGTTGCAGAAGTTTTAGACGGGGGCAGACTAGCAGACGGACGAAGGGCGAAAACGAACGCGGACGTGCAACTTTTGGGTCTGCGTCTTCCGGGCACTGCAGACGACGATGGACGGTGGTGAAATAGCAGACCAGTGGCGTAGGCAGGAGGAAGGGGGGGGGGGGGGGGGGTTCGGGGGTCGAAATTCCCCCCCCCCCCCCCCCCCCAGAAAAAAAAAAAAGTGCTCGATTGAACCCCCTCGCTACCCTGCTCACGCAGTCGGTCTTGCACGGAGCACGGAGCAAAGGGGGAGCGCGGACTATCTCCAACCTAATCGTTTTTCTGGAGGAATGTTTGTGGGATAGAAAATGCTCAAATAAATAAAATATTCAATATTTCTTCCTTCATGCTTATTTAGTGGGATGCGGAACTTGATATTAGATATATAGAAAATGCATATTTTGAAACATAAATTTGTGGGGTGTAGGATGGCAATTTCTAGGCAAAGTATAACTAACGATCCTCACTAAAATACATATTTAAATCAAACTAAAGTGGATATAATAAAACGCGCACATGGTGATAATATAAAACAATGTCAGTAATGTAAGGAATATTAAATCGATTGTAAAAACAATTGCACTGTAAGCAACGGGTGGCGCTGCGCTCACGCACACCTTAAGTACTGATCAGAATTACGTGCTTTCGACTAGAAATTACCGCGAATAAAGAAGTAACTGACTCTATTTATTGCAAAAAGCAATTTACACGCTTTCTTGATAATTTCATTTATGCCAAGCGCCTACATATTAAAATGCAGCCACCTGCGTTCATGGCAAAGAAAATTCAGGTTGCGGCCCTATTGAAAATTCCATCAAGATACGTAATTAGGGACACTGACTGCCAGTCAGCAGCCTTGGTGGAACGTGATGGACCATCAGACGCCATCTGATGGTCCATCAGATGACGTCTGACTGCCACTGCCAAGGGAATTTCATCAACAAGGGCAGCATTTATATGAGAGTAAAGCTATACGCACTCATAAATATCGTCAAATGCCTCAATAAATCAAAATGTTTGAGAAAAAAAACAAGAAAAAAAAACGCAGGACCACCGCGGATCGAACCCGCGACCACTTGGTCGCGGGTTCGATCCGCGGTGGTCCTGGATCGGACACCTTAACCCCTATGCTATGCCATCGCTTTGGAAACTCGATTTGACCATTCGTTTTATACGAGATGCTTCGGCTGAAAATGCAGTTAAGCCGAAGCATGTTATGCAAAGCACTCGTACATCACTCGCCGTACTTCAGTTCTACTCACCTGCCATGTAGAATACTTTCGCGTCGTAGAACGATCCTTTTGTTCGCGCGTCTTGGGCCCAGTAGACCTGGTACACCTTGTCGTCTTCAACTACACCGCTAAAGTCCCTTACATCGTCGGAACTCGCAACAGGCTGGGTCTTGTCGAGTAGAAATTTTACTAAAGCATAAGACATTGTAGAGCCCGGGCAGGATCGACAGGTTGGAGCAAGCGGGCAAACAAAACGAGTCGAGAGCGATCGTTTATGAAAGCTCGGCGAAGCCTCTATGGGCGAAGCGAAGTGGCGTGTTCGGCGTTTCGGCGGGATTCTGAGCAAGGTTGTCGGTCGGCTGCGTGTCATATCTCTAACATCAACGGTTTTATGGGCTCACGTCCCGAAATCGTTTTCTTGTGCACAGATTATTTTTCGTATTCATAGATTTCACGAAATAGTGGTATCCGAACGAACTTTACGTCTTTTGACCATACGTCTGTCTGCACGTCAAAGCTTTTTGACGTACAGTCAGAGATAATCGATGTACAATCAGAATCGCCACCAAGACATCTTGATGGCATTTCGCGGCGGCCGACTGCCACCAGGAAACCATCAGAAAGCCGACAAGTGGAGTCTGATTGGAGTTTGGCTGTCGGTCAGAGTAACTTGTTGGCCAATCAGACATGCTTGACGTACAGTCAGGCACAGTCAGCGGTCCACTAGAAAACATTGACTGCCAAACAGGGTTACATTGATGGATTTTTCCTTCGGGGGTATCTGCGAAGATTTCTAAAAAAAACAGTCCCGCAAAAAACCACAGCCGCCCCCTCCCCCCCCCCCCCCTCCCCAACCCTTTACTGTGTCATTGCGTCAGCCTAAGCATACATGGCGGCGCCCATGGACCAGAGCAGACACTGGTCTATAGCTATCCTTGTGTTTTGTCTGGCCTTCACTCGCTGGCAATGCAGTGAGTTGTGTGCTGTGAGGAAGCATTTAAAGTTGGTGAGCCGCAACTGCGACGACAGTAGAACAGTGAGCCCCCACGCCCGCATTGCTGCAAATGAAGCCTCCTCTGTATTTCAAAAATGACAATGCAGCGTCCGTACCGCGTAGCTCACCCTGCTTCATCACTGGAGGGATTCGTGCCATTGGACCCCCCGAAATAAAATCCTGGCTACGCCACTGCAGCAGACGATGCCAGCCCTTAGCGAAAAGTCGTTCAAAATCAGTACACTCGAAGTGTACTGAAGTATACTAAAAGTATACTTTCATTGCGGTCTTTGTACTGATTGTATACTTTAAGTGCACTTAAAGTATACTTCCAGTAAAAATGGCGGTGGACTGAAAGTATACTCGTCCGTACAAAACTAGTACATGTAGTAGAATCGTAGTGCCCGCGGTAAAAAGTAGTTCAAAATCAGTATACAGAAAGTGCACTTAAGTATACTAAAGGTCTACTTTCAGTGCTTGCCAGTCGGTGTGCTCAAATTATAATAACGTATATATATATATATATATATATATATATATATATATATATATATATATATATATATATATATAGTGCGATTTTTAACATCGACACACTAAAAACGCGATAGATAGGCCGATGCCGTTTTCACAGGATATTTGTGGGGCTCGGCGGACATTACATAAGTAAGTAAACGTCAAAGTACGTTGTCTATTTAGTTTTTCTGATTGGCAGTGTAATTGACCATGTTGAATTTTCAATTTTAAAGGGGCTATGAATAAACTCTAGCCCAACTGAAGCAATTTGCGAAAAGGTGACAAGTTTTGGGTTATTCATAGCTAAAACTCTGCCTTTCGTTGCCTGATTAAAAACAGCGCGCTGGACAGAGCGCAGGATGTTATTCTTACGCATTCCCTTCAGTCGAACCGTTGGAAGTATGATGCTGGAGCATCCACCAAAGGCACGCTGTTAAAAGTATGCAACTTCGTTCATGCTGAATGCGACAGCACTTTATGAGGGTTGTAACTTCACTAGAAAATTAAATAATACATGGAACTCCAATATGAGAAGTTCTCACTAACTCAAACAAACATGCCATCAGCGATATGCCATGTCAAAACCGCTAAGTCACTCTCCACTTTGCCCGCCCCTGCCACGCGTGATTCTTGAATTGAGAGAAAAAAGTGCGAAATTTGATAAATAAATATCTGAAAGCGCCTTGCTGTTTCGTGAATAGTTTTGATTGTGTTAGGCTCTAAAAACGACTGCCTCTAAAACAGCAATAATAAAAAAAGTAAATTTACGGATTTTAATTACTTAAAAAATGTTGCCACGGTTATTCACCCATGTAATGTCCGCCGAGTCCCACGACACACATGAAGAGTGCATCAACATGACAGTGAGCCCCCAATTTTCCTGAAACCAGTTGATTAAAAATATCACCCGGTATACCTGACATAATGTGACAAAGGGATGCATCATTTCCCATTTCACTGCAAACCACGTGGTCCAAAGGTTCCCCGGGGAAACGACGGGCACTGTCATAGCATACTTACGTCGCAAATGCAACATGGACTTACGCCTAAAAAAAAGCACAAATATAAAAAATTAGCTACATTGTACGCCACGTAAAGTATCGTGATCTAACTTGTCAATAATTATTTTAGCTAGTCATTTCTATAAATTTAGCAATTGAAAAGTCTACTTTTATTGCAAAGATAGCTTTCATTTTCCCTGAGCTGTATATGTTACCTTCATTGAAGAATAAAAGTTTACTGTAAAAACTGTTGGCACTATTCGGAAGCTAGGCAATCGAGGGCAATCGCACCAAGTGTATAATGCTGCTGACGAAAAAGCCTTGGCGACAAGGGAGAAATTGTTTGAGATAGTTTCGGTTTTACACTGAAAAAGAAAACCGAAAGTTTAGGTAAAGCCTAAGATAGACTAAACGTTTTGTTAATTTTTTACAAATATAATCAAGTGACAATATTATTATTAATATACTGATTTGCTTAGTTTTGTCTTCAAAAAAAAAAGGAAAGTCAAAAATAAGAGACTTTTGAAAACTGCGCAAGACCATCGCTATTGCAATCAGCCTCCGTTGGGCCCAGTGTTGCCAACCGTAGGGTAATTACCATACTTGTGGGGTATTTTAGGCATTTTTGGTACATTGTAGGGTTGAAGGGCCGTCCGGCCAGTTCCCCGCCAAAAGTAGGGTAGTTTCAGACGTTGCTTCTTCAACGGCGAGCATTGTACAACCAG